TGTTGGAGGTAGTTGCCTGATCAAGGGATCCCTCCCTATTGACCACATATCGCAAGGAAGGCTGGGTCTTCTGTGTTCTGGTGGAAATGTGTGCAGAAAAATGTTAGAAATGACCAAATCGTACAATGTTTCCATTAAAGTTACAAGCTGAGAACAGCATGTTTAACTAACAGAAAAGGAAAACAGGAAAAAGATACAGTTTGTGGTATTAGATTGGGATAGTATCATTTGACTCCAAGGACGAAGGAAAGATATTGCAACTCCAAGTTTCAGACAATGGCAATCTTATGAGAACAGATTTAAATGTGTCTAGTCAGCTAAAAGAAGTATTTTCTGGTATCTTATAGCCTATGCTTGTAGGCTATATTTTGTTTTTTTTAATTTTTTAATTTTGTATTTTGTTTTGATCAATAACTGGTAATGTTTAAAATGTAGAGGTCTGATAAATTTTAGCTAAGCCCTTTAAATTGGGGGTTTCGGTATTTTGTTTCTACATACCAAAGAATTAAGAAAATTAGAGGAAAAGGCTGTACAACAGAACTAAATGACACTTTGATGAAATGTGTCTATTCAGTGTCCCATACCCATAGCCTCCCACCTCTGCAAAGAAGGGAGGGAGGCTCTGCTGCCCTTTAGCAGTATGGCTTTGGTCATGTCTTTTCACATCCGTCTCCATTTCTCAGGTTTCTGGCCCTGTACGATGAGGGAGCTGGATCAAGTCAGAAATGTCAGACACGTGGGCTGTGGGCTGCGTGCAGCTTGCGTGCTGTCTGAATCAGATTAAAGTGTTATTGGGAAATATTTAATAAAATAAATAAAAATACAGATAATGTTAATATGTGGTCTTCTAAGTCCCTATGCAGCCCACCAGGATCCTATGTTCAATTTAGTGATTTCTATTTATATTTCAGTTTGTCACTACAGGACTAGGCAATTTCTTCCTTTTTTGTTTATTTTTTTTGTTTTCTTTGCTAGACAATGGGGGTTAAGTGACTTGCCCAGGGTCACACATCTAGTAAGTATCAAGTGTCTCAGGCCAGATTTGAACTCAGGTCCTCTTGACTCCAGGGCCGGTGCTCTATCCACTGTACCACCTAGCTGACCCAACTAGGTGATTTTTGAGGTCTCTTTTAGATCTGATTTCTGTGCTTTTAGGACAAGAGCAAGGAGGAGGTCTAGACCAAATAGTATGGGGGAAGATCCTTTTTTGGGGGAAGTCAAGGCATCCCTTTTCCTACTCCTCCCAGCACAGAATGGTAGTTTTGTTTCTTAATGTAAATTATGGAATAAGCAAGTGGATTGTCTTGGCTGATTAGCTCACTGACCTCCGGGGCAGAAGGAGTGGGTGAATGATTTGAGAACATGAAGGTTTGAAGGTTCCTGGGTAAACCTGGAATTGGAGCAAAGGGAGCTGACTAGTGTTCTGGAATAACTTGAGCAAGGTCTGGGTGGTGGTGATCTCCTGCTGAGCTCACTGGTCATTGTGCTCACTCGTCAATGAAACTCGTCCCTTACATGGGACTGAAGAAATCTGGCCTTGTTTTCTAATTTTCTAATTCTCTCCTTTCCAGGCCTCATGAAGACCCCATTCTTTAGTATTATTATGGATGATGGCAGAGATCCTATAAGATCATAGATTTAGAGCAGGGGTTGATGGTCAGAGGGCATCCAGTACCCCCTGATTTTATGCACCCCTCTTTGTGTATCATACAGAGAAATTAAGTGACTTGCACAGGGTCACACATCCTTAACATCCAGTGTTAGAGGCAGAACCTGAACTCAGGTCTTTCTAACTCCAAGTGTAGCTCTTTAGCAACTATGTCTTGCTGCCTCTCTTGGGATACAATATTTAAGCCTGTAAGTAAATATAGTATAATTTGAGGAGGGAGAGCAGCTGGGGGGATTAGGAAAGGCTTCCCATAGGAGGTGGTACCTGATTTGATAAACGTTGTTTCCTTCACTGTCGTTGGCATAATGGCCTTTGGGACATTTTGAACTGGATGTTTTAAACTCAACATGTCAGAAACTGAACTCATTATCTTTTCCTCCGTATCTTCCTTTTTCTAATTTTCCTGTTACTGCCAAGGATACCACCATCCTCCTTGTCGCTGAGGCTCACAAACTAGGAGTCATCCTAAAGTCCTCACCATCTCTCACTCTCCACATCCAAGCTGTTGCCACAGTCAATTTCACCCCTGTAACATCTCCTGAATATGCCCCCTTCTCTCCTCTAGCACTGCCACCCTCCAGTGTAGGCCCTCACACCTAGTCATCTAGTGATGATACCTCGTACCTGTACTATCGCAATCCTGGCTCGGCCTGCCTCAAACTTTCCCCACTCCAATCTACCCACTCAGCAGCTAAACTGATTTTGGTTGTTCAGTTGTTTTAGTTGCATCTGACTCTTTGTGACCCTATTTAAGGTTTTCTTGGCAAAGATACTGGAGTGGTTTGACATTTCCATCTCCAGCTCATTTTATAGATGAGGAAAGTCAGGTAAACTGGGTTGAATGGTTTGTCCAGGGTCACACAGCTAGTAAGCATCTGACGTTAGACTTGAACTCAGGAAGTCTTCCTGACTCCAGGGTGCTGGCACTGTATCCACTGTGCCACCTCACTGCCCAAAATCGATCTTCCTAAAGTGTAAATTTGATCATTTCTCTTCCCTCCCTCCCACTCAACACATCTCAGTAACTCCCTGTTGCCTCCTGGATCAAATATACACTTTCCTATTTGTCTTAAAAGCCTTTGTAAACGGGCCCCATCCTGCCTTTACAGTCTTCTTATACGTTGGTGCCTTCCATGTATTCATCAATCTAGTGGCTCTGACCTCCTTGCTGTTGCCCATACATGATTCTCCAGCTCCCAGTTCTGAGTGTTTCCCCGGCCGTCCCCCATGCCTGGAACTCTCTCCCTTCTCATCCACCCTGAGGGGGCAGGTAACTCAGATGTGGAAGAGAATCTAAGGAAGGGAGGTGGTGAGGGGGAATCTCCCCATAGGCTCAGTGTCAGGGCTGGAGGAAATTTTCCTTCCTTGGGCTGTACAGCCCAAGTCTCATTTTACTTAGGGGGCAGCTAGGTGGTGCAGTGGATAGAGCACAGGCCCTGAAGTCAGCAGTACCTGAGTTCAAATCCGGCCTCAGACCAAACACATCACACTTACTAGCTGTGTGGCCCTGGGTACAATTAGCACCCAGAGAAGGGTCCAGGAGACACAGAAAGCAGTATGTTGCCAAACTGCCTGAGTGACCAATACATCCATTAATCAACCAATCAACAAGCATTTATAAATGTCCCACAATGTCCCAAGCAGTGGGACACGTGCTGGGGAACATAGAGAGACAACATGTACATCTATACACATATAGAAGCAATCAGCCTTTCAATAAGGTTTTAAGCAGCGTACTCGAAGTGTCAGGCACAGGGCAAAAGATACAAAAAATAAAGCCATCTGTGTCCTCAAGGAGCCCATCTAGATGCATGTATTCACAAAACACGTAAGAAGTCTAGTTTTGGTGGGGAGGTGCAGGTTTTCCTGCCAGGGCCAGAAGGCTGCTCAGCATGCCCCAGCTCCCCTGAGGCCATCACTGCTCCTCTCCTCTCCTCTCTACCTGCCTTCTTCCTCTCTCATTCACCCACACCCTGCCCTCTTCTTCTTTAGGCTCCTCTCTCCCAGACGCCTCACAGAAGTGGACTGCTCATGTGACTTCACATCAGCCGCTCAGGCCCGGAATTTTGACAGGGCCGCTACGTACCAAGAGTTCCTCAGACTGACCCATGATGGCACCCAGCTACAGAACTTTATCCTGGATCCAAACAGTCTCCTGGTTGATGGTGAGGGGCCCTCCAGCCTGGTCTCTCCATCTGAACACTGACGGGCTGTGGGGTGGGATGAAGAATTCCCAGGATGCTAGACTCCTGACATCTCAAGCCCAAAAGACCCTCCCTCAACATCCCCTGATGCCTGTACTCCCTCCTCCCCCCTGACTGTGTCCCCCATCGCCATCCCTGTACCCTACAGTCATCTGTGTCTATGATCCCCATATCCTTTCCTCCCTCCGTGACCCCTGGAGTCTCTTTGTCCCCTATGGCCTCTCCATCTCTTGTCCTCTCATCCTCTTCTTCCTCACCCAGCCCAGCTCCCCAGATCACGACCCTTAGGTGTCCTCCCCTTATTCCATATTTTTCTGTCCTCAGGATATTCTACCAAGAGAACAGATGAAAAAACTAAGAAAATTGGTGAGTATGGCATCAGCCTTGCCCCATACCAGTTCCCTGAGTGTGTATGTGTGTGTTGGGGGGGTGAGCTGAGGGTGATCCTTGAAGAGTAGGAGAGTGGGGGGAGGGCAGGAACTGAGTGTCCAGGATGACTTTCCTCTCACCCTAGCCAGCACTCAATGCTGAGTGTCCAAGAACACTGTCTTGGACTGTGTTCATCAGACAAATGAACAGCGGTCATCCCTACCAATTGTCAGATCCCTGAGTGTATCTCCCCTTCCTGAGCACCCTGGGGAGGGCGGTGGACATGGGGAAGGTTCTGTGCCCTGCACCTTAAGTCATTCCCTGTCATTGGATATGATTCAGTATCACTGTCACCTTTCTCTGTTCTGACATTGGGTCCTTGCACTATCACCCTCCCTTGTCCCAGGTTATGACACTGGGGTCCCTGAACCATCTTTTCTGCCTTAAGTGACCTTCCCTCAGTTTGCCCAATTCCTTTTCTCCTATGTCCTGAGCCCCAGCTGCTTTTTCTAAATTCACTCCCATAGTCTGCCCGCCCCCTTTCTCCTAGGTCAGCTTCTTCTGAAGAGCAAAGGTCTGGTGGCGTGGGAGTTGGGAGGATGCTCTGGATTGGGTCCTTCAGCCTCCATCCTCCATTTTCCCCATGGATTACTCTTTGTCCCCTCCCTTCCCATGGAGTGGGAATTCCAAAGGACATTTATTCCCCACTCTGTGCTGTCCCCTTGTCCCCATGAAGGCCCCTGAGCATCACCTCTTCTCCCCCTAGACCTGCCCTACTGTGCCATCATTCTCATGTGCCTGGCTATGCTCCTGGGGCTCATCCTTTGCCTTCTGTCCTGCTTCATGGTAAGAGAACTTGGGGAACCCCTAAGAGCCACTAAGGGCTGTGTGTGTGTGTGTGTGTGTGTGTGTGTGTGTGAGAGAGAGAGAGAGAGAGAGAGAGGGAGAGAGGAAGGCATGTGATCTCTGTGTGTATGAGACAAGAGTGTAAAGATGTGTAGTATATTTGTGCGTGTGTGTGTGTGTGTGTTTGTGTGTGTGTGAAAGAGAGAGGGAGAGAGAGGGAGAGAGTGAGAGAGAGAGAGAGGAAGCCATGGGATCTATATGTGTATGTGACAGGAGTGTATAGATGTATAGTATACTTGTGTGTGTGTGAGAGAGACAGACAGACAGACAGACAGAGAAAGAGAGAATGAGCATCCCCATGAGGGGAAGTCTTTCTGGTGGCACAGTGAAATGATCACTACAATCCCTGTATTTGGAGCCAGAAGACCTGGGTTCAAATCCTGTCCTATACTTGACTGTCATCAAGTCACTGGGCTTCACTTTCCTCCTCTAGAGAATGAGGAGATTGGAATAGCAGGCCTCCAGTATCCCTCCCAGCTCTAACTTTGGGATCTCATGATCCAGTAGGCTTATCCAAGAATGAGTAAGTGTGTGTCTGTGAGAATACAGGTGTGGTTATGGCTGCACATATGCATCTGGGAGAGAGGATGCATATCAATGAGTCAATGTGAATGAGAGTGTGAATTTAGGAAGTGCAAGACACTAGTGTGTGTGTCTATTCATATGTAAAAGAGGGTGTGTGTGTCTGAGTAAGAATTTGAGAGAGAAGAGGTTTCTGTGTATCAGAGAGAGACAGAGAAAGAGAGTGAGAAAATGCACAGTGCCTGGCACACAGTAGGTGCTTAGCAAATGCTTATTGAATAGAATTGAAAATGGAGGGACAGAGCTGGAGAGATAATCTGAGGCAGACATAGACAGAAAGAGGGAGACCAAGATAGTTGGAAAGAGACAAAGTTTGAAACAGACAGAGATGAAGAAAGGACAAAGATGAAGAGACAGACAGAAACTGAGGCAGAAACAGGGAGAGATAGACAGACAGAAAGAAAGAAAGAATAAATTTATTTAGGAGAAAGTTCCAGGTAGCCTTCCTTCAGACTCTCCCTGTTACTTTCTCAATCAATGGAGAGTTCTCTCAACGAGGCTCATGAATACTCTACCTGGGTGCCTTCTCCCTAAGCCTGGCCTTAGGTTTCGGGGTAGGGGCTGGGCAGAAATGTACAAGGCCAGCAAGGAAGACCAGTTCCAATAACCTTGGTTCCTGGCGATGCTCCTGGGATTCACCAGGGCTGCCTTCATGCCCTCTCTAGGGAGCAAGGCTGGGTCCACAGCTACACACAAGAGGCTCTCAGCAAGGGTCATGCCCCCATAACTCATGACTGTCCTCGATCCCTCAACCCTGCACAGGTTATCATGTGCCTGAGAAAAACGAAGGAGATTACAAAGTCCAAACCATGAGCTCTTACCTCTCCCACCTGGACCCCAGGAAAATTAATTAATAGTGGACTGTGATAAAAATGTAGCAGAACCCAGGGGCTGAAGTGCATTGGTCTTGGGCTGGAATAAACAATGGGCCTCGCTCATTCTGGATTGACCAGAATACTGACTCTGCCTCTTTCTTACCATTTGCCCTGGTGTGGGCGACTCCTCAAGTGAGTCTACAGGAATTGAGGGGAGAGAAGTCCCTCCCCTAGGCTCTAGGGTCCATTACACCTCCTCAAGGGTCATCACTCCTCTCTGGCAGTCTGCCAGGTTCTCATCTGGAAGCCAAGCTTGGAGGATGCATGAAGGAAAAGCCCAGCATCCACACTGGTCCTGAACACAATGGGTGGGGCTAATGGACCAGATAAGCACTATTTTCTCACCCCTAAAAGACCAATTGGCTACGAATTATGCACCACTGGAGTAGCCTGAGTTTAGGAAACCAGAGGACATTGGATACCTCGGTGCCAAGACCCTTCCAATCTGTGATTCCCCAACCTCTGGCTTCATATCAACCCTCAACAGCCCTGATCTCCTTTTCCCACTGTGACCTGCCTCTGGGATATGAGCATCCACCTATCCCTGTCTTCTAAGGGCTCTGCCTTGCCCACCAGCTTCACATCACCCTTGCTCAAACTCCTAGCTCCTTATTCCTTGGCAACCTCCCATCTGACCCCTTCCATTCATCCTTCCATTAAGATTCCCCAACTGCTTTCTGTCTCAACCTGCTTTTCACTGTGGCCCACACCTCAGGCTCCCATTGGAACCTCCAGATGAACTTCCCATCACCCTCTAGCTGTGACCTACCCACCGGGCACTCATGGTTGTAACCTTCTATGACCTTTCCCTTCCATGACCAGCCTCTTCCTCTGACCTTCCCCCACACCTCACATTACCCTTCACCAGGCACTGCCTCTCACCCTGATCTCCTTTCCACTAGTTATAGCTTTCTCCCTTACAAGGCTATGTCACCTTAGACAACCTGCTTTCCTTGTCTGGGCCAGTAAAATGAGACTTGTTTTTTTTTTTAGGCATTTGGCACCCAGATCTAGGTTCAAATCCTGCCTTTTACAGCTAGTGTTCTCATGAAAGGCTCCCTCCACAAGAACCTGGGCAGGAACAAAACCATTGGACCCCCTTGATTCAATCATTGGGTGAAGAAGCACATATTGAGTCACTCCCTTATGAAGAACCCTGAGCTCATATAGAGACCCCCACAACTGACCCAAACTCTGTACTTGTAAGTACTCAAGGTGTCTATCAATCTATAATCATTTTTCTTTTTTTCTCAGTTCCAGGTCCATCCACAAGAGTAGCACCTAAGCCTACCCTGGAACCCACAGGGCCTGGAGGACGCTCCAAAGGTAGGGAAGAGGATGATTCTGTGTCCTGGCAGTGGTGTCAGACTCATATAGAAATGGATCCCTGTGGGCTGCCTATTGACTTAGAAAACCCCAAATTGACATTATCCACGTTGTGCTGTATTTTTATTTATTTTGTTAAATGTTTCCCAATTACATTTTAATCTTGTTCTGCCACACTCAGGAGTTTTGGGGTCTCAGTGTAGGCTATGCAACCAATACCTCTGTGACCTGGAGAATTCACCCTGAGTCCCACATGGAAGGTGGAAATAGAATATGCTATTCAAAAGAGGAAACAGGCCTTTCAAAATCCCCATTATTCTAAGAAATAGGCACCTTATAAACAGGGAAAGAGAGGGAGAGCTGAGATGTTATATCAACTGGAAGTCTTAGGTCACAAAGACCAGAGATTTAAATTTTGAGAAATTAGATATACAATTAAGCAGAACATTCTATGGGAAGTTGGAACAGATTTCTGCATTCCTGTTGAAGAGTAAGGAAAGTACAGGCTGCCTAAGGAGGAAGCCCCTGGTCTAATAGACTTTTGCAATGAGGACCCTTCACCCAGGTCCCTGTAACATCCTGGGGGTAGGAGACAGATCCTCAACCCTAGCAGCTCAGGATTTCAACTTCACTAGTAACTTCACCATCATGATGAAAGGGACCTTTACCATTATGGTGCAGAACCAGCACCAGGGTGAAGCTTCTCGAGGTCATGCCATGTGAAGGAGCTGGTGTTGCCTAGCTTGAGCACAATCAAGGAAGACGTGATAAATGTCCTCCAGTATTTAAAGGGCTCTCACATGGAAGAGGGGATAGGTTTGGTATGTTTGTCCCCAGAACAATGGGTGGAAGTTACAAAGAAGCAATTTGAGGCTTGATGTCAGGAAAACCTTCCTAGCAGTGAGAGCTGTCCCAAAGTGGAATGTGCTGCCTTGAGAAGTGGTGGGTTGTCCTCCCCTGGAGGCCATAAAGCATTGGCTGAACAACCATTTCTTCAGTACATTGTAGAGGGTTTTTGTTGTTTTTGTTTAGGCAGAGAACAGGCAAGATGGCCTCTGACATTCCTTCCAACTCCAAGAATGGCTAAGGCAATAGAGACCTTGCCTTCCATATCTCATAGCCAGTTCCTCAACTTATAACATTCATATGGCTGTGTTATTGATCATCCTTCTTCACAATGATTTTTCCAACAGCTTCTTTGCTGACCACATCTCCGCCAGCCACATCCCCAGGTCCATCAGTTTTCTCAAGCACCACAGGTACAAAGATATTGGATATCTGGGTCATGTCCTAGAAATTGTGCCATGCTTTTCTGTAGGATTAGAGGACAAGAGACATAGAGCAAGGGGAAAATTGGAAAATTGGAAAGGGTACCATCAGTGGGTCTAGGATGTTAAGAGTCATGGATGAAGAAAAGGTATAAAGGACAGGAAAGTAGGAGGGTTGGGTTCTTAATGTGTTAGTGAGAGTTCAAATTCAATAAAAATTAGAAAGGTCCATCACATCTAAAAACATAAGATATTTAACAAATAAAAGGTCAAATATGGATAAAGAGTTACAAAATAAATTGCCTGACCAGAGGATGATGGGGACATGACCAGAAAGATTTCACATTGGAAGACGATGAGGGTTTTAGCAGATTGAAATCTCAACTTGATCTAATAGGGTGATGGAACAGTCCAATTAGTCCCCATGAAGAGAAATCTAGTCCTTGGAAAGAGGAAGATGATAGTTCCACCGTCCTCTGGCCTGATCAGCCCCCATTTACAATATTATGTTGTGTTGTGATGACATGTTTGAAGAAAAAATATATACAGAAAGAAAATGGCTATCATGGGAACATGAAACTATGCTATAAAAGGATTGTTTGAAAGACCTAGGTGTGTTTAATCTACATAAGAGAGGTTTAATGATGGTCTCCAAATGTTTAAAGACCTCTAATGGGGCAAAAGATATAAAATCCTTCTACTTGGCCTCTGAGAGGGGAATTACAAGCAATGTGTGAAAGGTACTAGGGAATGTATTTTAGTTCACATTAAGGGAGAATTTTCTGCTAATTATGGCCATCCAAAAGCAGAATACACTGCCTCAGGACGCAGAGGCTGTGCCCTCACTGAAAGACCTGATACAAATCTTCAGTGGCATTTTGCTGGGAATGTTATTGGAAAAGTTCTTCCATAGGAAGCTTGGCCTAATTTGAATGAACAAGCCTTTTGCATGCTTCCTATTGTGCACAAGATTCTGTCCTGCTCTTGGAGATGAGTGGGATAGTCAGTAGGTGGCCTTGCGTTGTGCTCTGTTTCTGCAGGCCAGGACACAGCCAAAATGAACTGAATCAGGGCTCTACTTGCTCCATCTAAGCCCCACAGCTGCAAGTGCCCTTATTATCTCTAACTTCATGGTAGAACTTCATGGCAGAGAGGAAGGGAGTGCCCACAAGAATGCTACTCTCCTCCCAGAAGGATGTCAATAGAACTCAAACTGAGTCCTCTGTTCAGCTCTGGTTCTCATCCTAGTGTCCCTGAAATTTCCTTTTCCTTCTTTTCTGATCTCCTTGCCTTCATTATGTGTTATTTGAGTTTACAGGTTATAACGAAGACCACAATACCAATGTTTCTTCCACTTTCGTCAACTCTGGGGTCTTTAGAAAGGAATTCTCGGGGCGGGGCCAAGAGTGAAAGCAGTGCATTGCTTGAGCTCTCCCCCAAACCCTTCCAAATACCTGTAAAAAAATGGCTCAAAAAAAATTCTGCAACAGCAGAACCCATAAAAGGCCAGAGTGAAACACATTTCCAGCCCAAGTCAACCTGGGTGGTTGATTGGAAAGGTATATCGTGCTGAGCAGGGAGAGGAGCGCAGTTTAGTGTGGGCAAGCAGTGTGGAACAGGCCTCAGACGACTGAATCGCGGGCAGCCGTGGCGGTTTCCAGACTTCTCAAACCACGAACACCAAAGACAACTTGGAAGGTCAGTGAGAAAAGTCTGTTTCTGCGGTGATAGAAGAAGCTAGGTCTCAGCCCCAAGTCCAGAGCGTGTGGGCGGTGCAGTGGCTGACTCCTGAGCTTCTGGCCCACATACTGAGGGGGAATCGAGTGGCACTGAACAACATGTTTCTGCTTAGCACAATACCTGGTACATAGTAGGCACTTAATAGATGCCTATTTGCTGATGCCAAAGAATAAAATTATAAGATTTTCCGATTTAACAGAAACTTAAAGGTCATCTACTTAAATTTCTCCCTCTTAAAGATGAAGAAACTGAGAACCAGAAGACTTAAATGATTTGTTTGAGGTTGCACAGGCTGTTGTAATTGACCAAGTCAGAATATGAACCCAAATCAAAGAACCCAGAGCATCTTCAGAGTCCAAAACAAATGTTCTTTCAGCTACTTCAAGGGATTATCAGAATTTTGTAATTACTATTAGCTTTGTCTCCCAAATATTTTCCATGGAAGTATTATCTATTAAAAAATACAGCAAATGTGAAATTGTGACTTCAGTGACATAATACAGTTGAATTTCCCATTTTTACCACAAGATGGCCTTGCAATATTATTGTAATGCATAGTTCTGTATTTACAGTACATTCTTCCAAAAATTTGTTCCATCCTTGAAACATACCCCTTCAGATCCATCTTCCTGCCTGATTGTTTTGTATTGTAATTGTGAAATGTATTCTGAACATAACAGTGCGATATTCTATGTTACCACTGGATGGCAAGATAATAACACTTTTAATGGTCTTCGAATAATTCATTGTCTTGCCTTGGGAAATTCTTTTTATAATTTTTTTCCCTTGGGGAAAATTTTAATATATAATTGCATTTTCTGTAGTTATTTATATTTAAGGTTGCATGCAGAGCAAATGTTTTATATATATATATATATATACACACACACACACACACACATATATATATATATATATATATACACACACATGTGTATGTATTATTATTATTATCTTATATTTTTGGTCAGCCTTAAGATTTCATAAGCATAGGAAACTCCTACCCAATATTAGAATTCCCATCACTGATGGTGCATATTGGGCAACTCTTCAGCTTCTTAGAATCTTTGTGAACTGCCTGGATCACTGAGAAATTAAATGAGTTTTCCATTGTCAGTCAGTAGACAAGCAAAATTAAATGCTATATGTCAGTCTTGATTACTAAAGCATTGGGATCTGGAGAAAGGCAAAAACTATCCCTGCCCTCAAAGAGCTCTCATTCTAATGGGGGAGAGAACATGTACATAACTAGGTACATTTTCAAGAATAGATATGAGGTAATCTCACAAAGGAAGGCATTAGAAGCTAGGGTACTGAGAAAGGACTCCTGCCTGTATATACCAGGAATAGGACTTGGATGTGGGTCTTTCTGCCTCTGAGGCTGGCAAACCACTCTGACACACTATCTCTTAAATTTTGAATTAACAGAAATATGTTTCTAATTGCCTTATAGAGAGCCATATATTTCATAAGAATCTCATGGAGGAAGATTATATTCAAGTCCCTGTGTCTAGTGTGAATAATGCAGTTTGGTCTTCTATTGAGGATGGGGCAATGAAAGTGTTCTTAAAAAACCTAACACAGAAGATTTTTGGAGCCAAATAATATAGTAAAATTTGAAACTTGTTCTCTATGGGCATGGCCATGGTATAACTGAATTAATGCTGGTCACATTTCTCCTATATCGTCTACTATACTAACTGAACTGCACTATGACATATATATATATATGTATGTATGTATATATATGTATGTATATATATACATACACACACATATACACATATACAAATATATGTATGTATACACACATATATACATGTATATATATTACATTATATATATATATATAATTCTTGGAGAAATAATTTTGTATTTAGATATTCCCCTTTATTCAGTTAAATTTATCTAGATGAAGCCTTTTACCATTCAGTTAACAGACTTCTGGGATAGAGTTGGTTTATCTCTTACCTCCAGTCACAAAGAAGGGTCTATCAGTACTGGGTCTATGGATCTGCCAATTATCCTCCCCTACCCACACTCACACATACCTTGAAAATAAAGCAGCTCCTAATCTAATGAAATTCAAATAGAATTTTCAAATTTTGACATGCAATATGGATAAGAAACAACAACAGCAAAAATATGGAAACATATTCCCAATAGATACATGGTCAATCTCTCTGGAAATATGTACCTGGAGCCTAGCAGGCATTGGCAAAGAAGGACTGCAGAATGAGTTTCAGGTTAAAAGTCTAATTTCATTTACTCATCTGTAATTTGTACAAGATGAGCATATGATTTGATTATACTTTGCATTTAATTCATAAGGTCCTTGGTGTTTTAGCTTGTTTACCACTCTTGCACTTGAATAATTTATCAGTTTTGCTTTTTCATATAGAGCCAAAGGTGCAGGTGTTTCGTTCATTCATTTATCTCAGACAAAATGAAAGAAAATCTGTAGCTGAAATCAATATAGCTTTTAGTCATATTTATATAGCATTGATGCCACATCTGTATTATAAAGAACCCAGACACTTTCCAAAGAATAATTTCGTTGATTTGTGACATATGAAGTATCCATGGCATTTTTATCCTCATCAAGGGAATGGGGTTATGTCAGACTTGAAAGTGCAAGAGATCCTTCAAATTTGTAAATTCTCTATTCATGATTTGAAATATTCATTGTGCCAAATGACTCTAAGTCTTTGACTCAGTTTTTATGGAGCAAAGAGAAGTACAAAACTTCTTGCAAAGGTGAAAAAGGGTTGTTATGTGGTTTGTATAATTAAATCATGCTGATTCCCTGTATTCAAATGTTTGATTACCTGTCCTCCCTGAATCTTCTCTTCTCCAGGCTGACCATATACAGTTCCTTTCCAATATGTCACTGGCTATTGGAATTGAATAATGAAGGGGCAAAACTTCAAGGCACATTTTGTTTCGAATCTATGTAATGTACTTAACACAGTTTTGTGTATTATCTGTGTTAATGTCAGACCCCTATTAGACTGGGAGAAGGCAGTGATGCAATGAAAAATGACTAATTTGGAGCCCAAGTTCAAATTCTGGTTCTGCCATTTAACACCTGTGTGATTTGGGTCTCAGTTTCTTCACTTTTAAAATGAGTGACTTGAACTAATTGACTTCAAAAATCCTTTCCATCAGGAAATATATGATTCTATAGAAAGGCAATGTGGGGTAGTGAATAGTGAGTCTTGGAGTCAGAAAGATTTGAGT